CTTAACTCTCCAGTAAAACTTCAGTTGTCTTCTGTTGAGTTTTCAGCATATTTATCTTAATTCAAAAATATTCAAAAAAACCTTTATAAAGCAGGTAAAAAAAAAGGTTTGTGCTTGTGGTCATTGAAATTAATAAATAAATAAAACCTTAAAGTCAATGTCAAAGTCAAGTGACTCTCCTTCTTCAATCATAGAGTGTTCTATGGAGTGGCAAGCAGTGACCACTCCATAGGACACTATAGGCTCTACGCAGTGGCCTGCGATTATGGCCTACGCAGTGGCCTACGATGAATAAGCTATAAAATGCAGGTGGAGTGTGGAACAAATACTGTGGTACTCAGAAGAATGCAGATAGCAATATCCAACTTCTGCTCTAAAAGAAGAATAGCTGAGCTATAAAATGCAGGTGGAGTGTGGAACAAATACTGTGGTAATCAGAAGAATGCAGATGGCAATATCCAACTTCTGCTATAAAAGAAGAATAGTCACGCACCCCCACATGTGATGACTTTTTCACTGAATCTTGCTTGAAAATGACTTTTTCAGTAGAATGGCATTTCCTTCTCATACACTCCTGTGCTAGTATAGCTGAGTAATGTCCTCGCACTGACTTGTCTGCTCAGGTTTATTGCAGTTAACCAGTATCGCTAAGGAATAGTAAGTAGTGATGGGCTCAATGTTGGAGCCGAACGTGAGTTCGACTCGAATATCGGCAGTTTGTGTGTTCGGCGAACATACGAACTGTCAGGGCATTTGACGGGCTGTTCGCCTGCCGAGCGCCCCACACAAGGCACTGTGGCTTGTGAGCCCTGATTGGGCAAAGTCTTGCACCTGACCTGTGGTCAGGTGCAAGGCTTTAGCCAACCAGGGCTTAACAAGGCCTGGTAGGACTTTAAGGGGGAACCCCACACACTTTTTAATTTGTTTTTTTTTTACATGGGGTCCCTCCTAAAATTCCTACCGGACCTTAAAAGGGTCTGGTATATAATGTATTTTTTCTTTATAAATGTCATTTTTGCTGCAGCAGGTTCTATACATTGTACAGATGCGCCACTTTACAGGCAGTTTAAGGGAACCCCCAGGCAAGATATTAAGATATTTAAAATAATGTTTCATTTTATTTGTTACCCTTTAAGTGATGTTAAAATCAGTGCTCCTTTAAAAACTGTATTTTTTTTTAAAGTGTTTTTTTTTTTATTGAATTCCTGTCCCCCAGGGCAGTACCCGGATCCCCATACACTTTTTATGGACAATAAATTGTATATAAGGCTTCAAAATGGGGACATTTGATTTTCAAAGTTCTACCGCCATAGACTTGCATTGAGTTTGAGTTCTAATTCAAACTTTTCCCATGCTCGAAAGTTCGAATTCTAACCGAACTTGGGCCTGTTCGGCCATTACTATTAGTAGGACCTACTAGCCATAGTGCCATTACTAATGTCAGCTAATTATAATATGTCAGTATTGCCTCCTACGAGTATGCCTCGTAGGAGGGACACTTACTAAATCACCTCAGGGCAATAGCAAATTGCAGGTTATTACCAAATCCCAGTGCTCACATCTACTACTAAGTACTGAGGTCATTGTTCTTTATGGCCAGGTCTGCTGCGTGGGCGATGATTACAGAAGACGCCAGAGGCTTACGGCATGACAAGCAGGGCTGTTCTTACTCACTGTGCTGACCAAAGCATCAGTTAAGACCAGTGCATACTCTGCCTCTTGTAATACACGATACACCGCATCTGTGACTCTGATCCTACCAGTGAGTACACCACAGAGCAGGTTCTGGGAATCCCTGTCTGTAGCTTCATGAAACAGTTGGACATCCACAACTTAAAAATATAAACCTTGTCCCATGTTGATCTTGAAGGGCACCACCCAAGACCACACTTTTCTTCTCATCCAAGATGCAGTATAAAGATTTCATACAATTACTGAATGCCTATGTACATTGATAAAGAGAATCTAGTTATGACACTGTATACTACAAACTGACCTGCAGCATTCCAAATGAAAGCCATCAAATGAGCAAGAAATGATGTCATAGTGACACACTTTTATGACTCTTTTGATCATAATGTTCTCAGATGTGCGATTAATATTACACGCAGATCGAAGCTTATGCAGCACAGAGCCTGCACTGCAGTCAATGGTCCCAGGCAGACTCCTCGAGCCAATTCAATTTTATTAATGGAATCACAAGCTTTGTCCCTTACATAAGCAGCCAAGACAGATCACACTGCAGCAATAATGCTCAAAATAGAGAAGGAAATGTCCTGCAATACCTTGCTATTGATTTTCTGACGGCTCAATGTAAGTCTCTGAACGTTATGCTGCTTGTGAATGGATTGACCATATTTCAGCATGTTCTAAATCAGGATACCCAATAGGTCATTGCAGACAAGTAGTACCTGTCCGTTTGGTGGTATTTACTACTTAAAGGGGTTTCCTCTGTCTTTACTATTCTAAAGGGCCACTAAGCAAATCATAGATTAGTTTATGTAGAAGATATCCTTTTTATAGATGACCATTTAAACTTTTCTGTTGAATAGAACATATCTTATTTAAAGGGAAGTTCTAGTGTATTTTTAGTGAGCAAATACTAATAATGAGTATTACTCAAATATTTTTCTGAATATAACTTTTCCAACATGCTTGCTGTACTATTTTTTTCATATCGATTTGTAGCATTTCCCTCTAATGGTTATCTGTATTTTACTGCAATTAGTCATCCTTCCTGACCAACAACTAAAATAGGAATTTTGGATATGTAGATTTTGTCCAAGCGTACTAAATGTAGTAGTGCCCACAGCATATCAACCAATCAGCTTCCAGCTACAGCAAACTCCGTTATCTGGCACCCATTGGTAGATGCCAGATAACAGTAGTTTCTGGTTGCATGAGAATTAATAGTAATTCTCAACCAAGCAATATCAACAAATATCAACCGCCCTCAGGGGGGTACGGCCGACACTAAAGTAAGGGGCCCGGCAGCCTCAGTGGCCTGCAGACCTTACCTGGGTGACGGCCGTACAGGTGACTGAAGGCGACCGGGCCCCCGCAGCACCGGAGGAAGCCAGGGCCACCCACACACCTTGGGTGCTGTGCGAGCCTTCAGTGTCCCCCCTATGTCCACTGCACAGTGCACATTAGGTTTTTAAAGATGGCCACCGCGAGTAGCGGTGGCCATCTTTAAACCTGGCAAGTGCCCACATCCCATTTAATATATTGCCGAAACGGCAATATATTAAATGAAAATCATTCCCTGGTGGGGAATCAGTATGATCTGCATCTCTTGTGATGCAGACCATACTGATCGCTCCCTCGTGGGGCCTCTGCTAACATGCAGGGAGCGATTAGTATGGTCTGCACTAGCCAGAGTGCAGAGCACACGGATTCTTCACTGAAGCCCAGGGATGCAGCCCCCCTTCCTGCAAAACAGGTAAGCAAGAGAGGGGGACATTTTTTAATGAACTATTATTAGTTGTGAGAGTGTGCCCTATTGTGTGTTTTTTAATGAGTGTGTGTGATTTTTTTTTTTTTTTAAATGAAGCTATGTGTGTGTCTTTTAATGAGTGTGGCATATGTGTGTGATATGTGTGTGATATGTGTGTGATATGTGTGTTTCATTGCGTGTGTGTGGTTTTTTTTTAACCATGATTTCTGTTTAAATACAAGCGATCGCTTGTACAATACGGCGCAGTGTCCCCTTCTGCAGCCGCCGGTGCTGCCGTCAGCTTCCCGGGCTCATCTGTCCCTTGTGTGAGCCCGGGACCGGTGTGGAGGGTCTCCCCTGACAGATTGGAGAAGAGATCAGCAGCTTCTAGCCGCGGACCTCTCCTCCGATCACTGGAAGTGAGGTGCATTTCATCACTTCTGGTCCGGCTCCTAGAGCCAGAAGAAGAAGCTGGTGAAGCAGATCTCGGCTTCATCAGCTTCTTTGGGGTCCCTAGGTGACACTACGGGTCTGAAAGACCCCTGATGTCTCCATAAAGAGGACCTGTCACATTATATTTGCAATTACATAGGGGACTTGTTAGCCCCCTATTCACATAGCAATAAATTAGCAATAAATTATTAGCAATATGAGCAATGAGTGTGAAAAAAAATTGTAAAAATTAAAGTAACAAAATTTTTTTTTTTTTAACCACTTGAAGTCCGCGGTGTTACACCCCCTTCCTGTCCAGGCAGTTTTTCTGTATTTAGCGCTGCGGTACTTTGACTGACATTTATCCCGTTATGCACTGAAACGAATTTCGTACCATTTTTTGGGGGACTCATAGAGCTTTTGTTTGGTGGTGTTTAATATTTACTATATTAAAAGGAGAACTATGGTGTTAGGGCTTTTCCCCATCGTTCTCCGAAGTATAACGGGAGGACACAAACTAGCGTCCTCCCGTTACCCAAAGCTCAGTATACCGCGAGCTGCAGCTCGCGGTATACTGAGACGCCGCAGATGAAACGGATCCCGACAATTATGTCTGGATCTGCCCAGCTGCGTGATTGAATGTAGAGATAGAGCCAGCTGTACCCGCCCCCTCACCCGTCCGTTCCACCAGTCAGAGCTGGAGAATCGGAGTGGGGAGGGGGAATCCAGTCACTCCCCTGTCACGGCTTTCTGCAGTGACTGGATCGAGAAGTGAGCGAACGCCGGTATGTGTTCGCTAACTTCCCGATCTACTGAGCCGACCTGTGACAGTTTCATTGTCACAGGTCGGCTCAGGTTATGAGGCTGAGTGAAAAGCACTCACCTCATAGTTCTCCTTTAAGGAAAAAGTACCGAAAATGAAAAAAAAAACGGTTTCCCCTATAATAAATTATAAAACATTTATTATTACCCAATTTTTTGGTAAAATATAAAAGGCGGGGTCACGCCGGGTAAAAAGACAGCAAACATGTTAAGCCTTAAAATTGCGCATGTGCGCGACACCTCAAAAAGCTACAATATCCAACATTTTAGAGTGTAAGCTGCCCTGCGAGTGTGACCGTAAGAGACTCACCATTGGCTGGCTTCCTCCTCTCTTAGGGGTGGTAGCTCTGTGGTAAGGTTTGATTTCTTGTCCTGCATCGTCACCTTTAGTCTCTGAGCTGTAGACTTGTCCTGAGAGTAGAACATCAATTCCAGCTCACACGTCTTGAAACTCCCTAAATACAAGGGGCTCAGTAGCCGGGCCTTGATGCAGCTCTCTGAGAACTGACTTGTGTTCAGGAGAAGAATTCCATCTGTAAGAGAAATTAATGTAAAAATAATGTAGATTGTAGTATCAAACTATTTAAATGATAAGAAAGAAAAAAATTATCTGGTAGAACAGGACATTTCACGCTATTAGTTGCTAAACTGCATAGGCAAATGATGCAGTTGATGGACATCATTTAGGTATCTTTTTCTAAACAATTCATGAGGCCATCTGCCCTGCAAATATCTATAAACATTCCTTTTGTGCGCATAATGGCACAAACGAACATTCATAATATATTTTTTCAGGTCAAATTCATTAGATGTAATATTGCATCATGGCCACTAGATGGAACTGAAGTGCATAAGGACTAAATAGTTATTTCCTGTGCTCCGCAGCTTCAGCTAGTGGCCATAATGCAGTATTACATCACAATTCATTCAACCCGAGAAGAATTCAGCCAATGTTCATATGTACAGATACAAATATGCTGTTCTTATTGGTAAGTACCTGAAAAGTATTCACACTCTGACTGATGTAATTTTTACCTCTTAGGCTACAGTACTAATAATTACTCTTATACCCCCAGTCTTACTGAATAATAACAAGTGCAGTATTTCAATCAACTAAATATTTCAATCAACCAATTAGACGTCGCCTCTTTGTAACCTCACTGGGAGCAAACCTGTGCTTTGGTCATGCAGGGAAGAACAACAGGTTAATTTCAATGCCTCAACCTCAGTGCTTCATAGTCATCTTTACTTTGCTCCCACACAGTTTTGCACTTTGTGCTGTCTTATTGAATAAACTCATAATACATTTAGCATCAGCATCCACCTACAGCTAAAAAAAAGTGTGTGGTTTTAGGAATAATTCATTTTCATATGTTCCCCTAATTATTTTTGAGACTAGCCCTCTCCATAACCATAGGCAGGATGAAAACCTTAAGTCAGTGTTATCTGCATTTAAAGCAACTGTTTCCTTTTCCATTGCTTAATTTAATTAATTTATGACACATTTCCCTAATGAAATTTCATCGAGCATTTGCAGAGTGAAAACCTGAGGTGAGAGGTTATCTACCTTTTAAAAAAAGTTTCACTGTTTACAGAAACCACTGCCAAATATGCCATGGCTGGATGCCACCATCTAGACCCCCTGGTACCCAACCATTGGCTTTTTGATGCTTATTTTGTGACCCTTGGACCCCAGAAGCCAGTAGTTAGTGTTTTCCATATCTAGATGCCCACTCAGGCACAGTGAAGGAATGGTGGGATATATAAATCACTAGGGAAGGGGACTAAGAACTCGACTGCTTTACTGGAAGTGACATATATTCTGAGTTGGGTGAAGAGTCACATGCCGGCGCTGTCTGCAGGACAAAAATAACAGGGGTAGAAAACTGGAAAGTGGACTATCGGGTCAAAAAGGTCTGGATTAGGGAGAGTGGGCCCTTTATCTGGAGATCTTCCAGCAAATATACCTATGATGAGGAACACCAAATCTTCTGGATCTTTGCATATCAGAGCAGAGCTGTTCAATTAGAACTGCACATTTTGCTGAAGAATGGAGTATGTTTAAAACAACCGGCAGAACAGATTATGAAGGTACCGATCACCTGTTTACTGACCTCCCTTCTGGTAGAACAATACCATCAACACATGCATATTTATATAACCTACAGATCTCTCATGAATAAATCATCACCCATCCCTATGCAGGTAGGACATGGCATTACAGAAAAGAAAAAAAATCTGGAGATAAAACATGTACCATAACTCTCTATCAGTAAGGATTATATTCAACTCAGTTGAAAACTAGTGTATTATTCATGCAGATAACGAAGCTGGTCTATTAGGGGCTCAGAGTCTCATTCACATTTGCATTAGGCCAGTCAGGTTTTGTATTTCTTTATCAAATTCAGCTAGTTAAAATAGCATGTGTGAAGGGAAAGTTTAAAAGCACAGTGCATGTAATTGGTCACAGGAGTGATGAGAAATGTTAGAAAGCCAAAACCTTTAAATCCCTTTAAACTCAGCTAAAGCTGAACTGCAGACAACAAAACTGCTCCTTGCAGTAGGTCTGCCCCTGCCCTGCAAGGTTGTAATGATTGTTTAGGTTAAGGGTACCTGAAAAAAAAGGTTTTCACTTACCTGATCCCCACTTCCTCCCTCTGCAGCCTCTTCTCCCCTGTCGTTTGGAGGCCTGCTGACGTCAACATGTACAATGCAGGGCCCATAGCCCTGCACTATACTTGAGGATGGCAAGGGACAGTCCACAAACAGGAGCATAGGGGAGAGGTGACAGCCAACCGTCGAGGGGGGATTAAGTAAAATAGCTTTACACTAAACCTTGGCCCTAAACAAGAATGAACTCCTTGCAGTTCAAGGGGTAGTCCTACTGCAGGGGTAGTTTTGTGTTTTTCTCAGAGTTAGGCTTCAAAGTGAACCTTTCAGCTGCAAATATGCTGGCTACCATTGCCAGCTCTGAGGTAACCATTCTGATCCTGATTTTACTACTGAGTGAGTCATAGACATACAATAATTCTGCAGACTGAGTGTTTTGACTTACCTGGCTGGTGTATTTCAAGCCAGTGACTCACAAGGCAATGATGCCAGGATAACATTGACAGCCTTTACCTTGAAAGCAAGCCAGCAGTGCAGTTCCCGTACTTGCATTTAGACAGGTTTTTATAAGGCAGACTAATGCTAAAAATGCATATTCCCAATTTACAACCTAATCATAGAATTGCCTTTAGATTTACCCACAGCTATTTAGTCTTTGTCCCTGTTCACACCTAAGCTTTTTGTTGCTCAAAGGTAAGCGCGACAAAACGCTAAAGCCAAGGAATCCCATTCATTTCTATGGCCCCTGTTCACACCTGAGCATTTTGTCGCAAGCAAAAAAAACACCTGTGGCTGGAATAAGTACATGAACCACTTTTTGGCAGATTACTGTGCTTTTTGGTCCCATAGACTTCAGTGGGAACTTTGTGTGACAATACACTCAGGTGTGAACAGGGGCCATAGAAATGAATGGGATTTCTTGTGTTGAACGTTTTGTTGTGCTTAGCTTTGAGTGACAAAACACCTAGGTATGAATGAGCCTTAGGGATAGACAGTTAGGTTAAAGAGCTATAACAGGCAATATGTGAAACCAGTGAGCTACTAATACTATCTAGCACATTACAACTGTGCTAAAGCCAGAAATGACCCTCAATATACTATAGATTAAAGTGTATTTCCACTTTCACAGCCAAATTGGGATAACACTTATATTATATTTGTTACATATTCCCATTCACATAGCATAAGCTAACAAAAAAAAACATGCTTTTAGCAGTTTAAATTGTTTTTACTTGGTTTAGGGTTTTAAGGGTTAAAATTTATTTTTGCTTCCATTTCTTTGAAATGTTAGGAGGGGCTGTGAGGGGTGTGTGTGTGTGTGTGTGTGTGTGTGTGTGTTTGGGTCTAAGGAGGCTAGCCCATTGTATGTTAATTAAGCTTATCAGATAGACACAATCCTCAAATATCAGTCCCAAGACTTTGCATTGAGATAGACCACTGTGAAAGTGCTAAGAAAACCTGGAATCAGCCATCTTCCCTGATTTACCAAAACATCTAAAAGGTATTACATTTTAAATTTTTTTTATTTTTCAGTATGCTGTGTGAATAGGAACACATAACGAACATATGGAGGGATTTTCCTAAATTTGACTGCAAAAGTGGAAATACACTTTAAAGTAGAATTGTTCAGGCTAGGGACACTCAAGCATTTATATATTCAAACAAGTAGCAAATAAGAGTTAAAACAAACCTTCCCTGACCTCTGTAGTTACAGCCACTTGGGAGCAATTATTTCTCAAAGTTCACAACAGAAGGAGTGAAGTCATTCAAGTTGGCCCTTAGCATTTTTCTCCCCCTTCTTCCTGAGCTCTTACTCCGTGCTTACATTAAAAAAGCTGGAAGGCTTCCAAGTCACTGCTGGGAGGGGTAGCTAAGCTAACCAGAGAAACTGAAAGTAAGATTGGAAAAGCATCAGCTCCGAACTCCAAGGATGAATTACTCCACACTGGCTGCAGCTAAAGAGGTCAGGACTTGTTTTTTTTTTAAATAGCTACATAGATTTAAAAAAGACAAACATCCATGCAATTTTACCAATAGAAGAGTTAAAACAATGAAAACTTGCATCCACAGAACCCTATACTCACAGCTTATCCACAGTTTTAAAGTTTATTTGCTGCTTGTTAAGACTATGTAAATATTCGAATGCCCATAGGCTGGCCACAGTTCCACTTTATTGCCCAGGTCTCACAGCATTTTATTTGTTTATTTAATCGAACTCAATAATCGGCTAACTAATCGATTTTGAAAATAATCGTTAGCTGCAGCTCTAATAATCTTGCATTACTTCATGTTATTATTAGTGACTGATGTTTGCATAGAAATTCCCTCTGTTTTCTATCAGTAAAAAATGCATATTCCTGCCCTCATGCTTCAGTGCTCTGTGCTGGCATAGATGAGCAATAGCCACACCCCTCAGCACAAGTATCCTCACACAGTGAGAATTGACAACCCCTGCTTGTGATGTAGAAGTGGAATTCTCTAACACACCAATTGCAGGCTCCTTGTATTTTCTTACATACAAACAGTCCCTTGTAAATAAATCATCAGTATGTTTTGACACTTCCTGATAGTGTCAAGTGCTAGCTCTGCCCCCTCCCACCTCCTGCATGACTTTGATCAGTGACCTACATGTCCAATAGAAACATACAAGAGGACAGAGGGTGGTGCCAGCGTCTTCGTTTTAAACTACCAGGGACAGCTGAAATTTGTCAGCAATAGCTGCCTAGGATTCAAGCATTCCAGCTTCCGAAGAGAGAATTTAAAGGTGTGATCAAATAGTACCATTTCTTGCCTTCATTTTAGAACTGGAGTCTGTCAACACCCTTTGGGTATTGTCTAGCTTTACTTTAGGAATCCAGGTTCTGTCTAACAAGCCTCTCACTTTAAAAGATCTCACAACAGTATTATAAAACTTGTTTTTCCTTCAAGAGCACAGGCACCACTAATATTGAAATATGCACTGCATATTTTGTTTTACTTTTCCTATGACAACTATATATGCAGGCTTGAGCTGCCACTAGGCAAACGAGGCAATGCTAGGGCAATCTAGCATTGACCAGCAGCTTCCTCACACTCTTCCGGCTTTCCGATACCGCTATGTTATCCCAAGACATGTGAGGGGTCTTCATAAAGATGGCAGAGGAGGGAGGACAGCTTGATAAAGTGAGCTTTTCCCTCTAGTGTTCAGATCCACTCCCTCAGACAGGGACTGGCCTCTATTGAAGCTGACTAATGAGCCATGAGGGGGACGTGGCCGGTTCAGTGGAAGTATTTGCACTCTAGCAGCCACTTCCTGTGCTGTACCCTTCACAGGCCACCTGGGTGTCACAGTGAGAGGCATGTGATGGGGCCGAGTTCAGCTACAGGAGAACGCTGAGCCCGCTGTGTGTGCTATGAAGGCCTCACCTCTGCATGGCCTGCATGTAAGAGTCTCTAATATTTTCTGTATAGGCTGTATGGTTCTGTGTGCTATAGGAGGATTGTGGACACCATGGAGGGGACATGGTGTCCACAGGCCCCAGTACCCAGTGTGTCTCTGCATGGCTTGCATGTAAGAGTCTCTAATATTTTCTGTATAGGCTGTATGGTTCTGTGTGCTATATGAGGACTGTGGACACCATGGAGGGGACATGAACCCTATGTGCTGGGGACACAATGGAGGGGACATGGACCCTGTGTGCTAGGGAAGGACTGAGGACACCATAAAGGGGACATGGACCCTGTGTGCTATGGAAGGGCTAGGGACAGTATGGAGGGGGCATGGACCTTGTGTGCTATGGAAGGCCTGGGGACAGCATGGGGGGACATGGACCATGCGTGCTAGGGAAGGGCTGGGGATACCTTGGAGGGGTCATGGACCCTGTGTGCTAACCAGCGTGTTGGGGAGACACTGGGGTGTCTGCTGAGGAATTAGAAGAAAAAGTATGTTTATTGTTTGGGGGGGTGCAAGAAGCTGGTCTTGCCTAAGGCGCAAGATAGTCTAGCACTGGACCTGTGTATATGCACCATCTGATGTACAAATGTATGGATTCTGTTGTAGGGGGAGTAAAGTATAGTGCATGTAGTTTCCTTAACTGCTCTTACTTTAACTTGTGTAGCCTATTCGGAAAAAAGACAAAAAAATAAAAGGAATTCAAAACAATATTGTATAGTCCAAAATTTGTATTATAAAAACAAAACAGTTACTTACCATCAAGGCTTCTAGACTTGTTCAGAAGCTGCACCTGGTCTTGCAGTGACAATTCCCCAACGAGTGTTTGTACCCAGTGTGGCTTTCCATCCATACTTATAGATGACGTCCAAGAACAATATGTTTCAAAGTTACATGATTCTCCTTTGGCATGAAAGAAAGATATAACTGAGTATAATATTCTTCTATAAAAAAATAAATACCATATAGCTAAATGTTAAGCTAAATGGTACAGTTTAGTAACACATAGTAACACTGCAATATGTTTTGATATTTTTAACTTATTTACCTCTGTATGACCGTCAATGTCCAAAAACCATACTGAGGCGAAAGTTGGGCTTTAACACACATTGATAAGAATGTTTATATCAAGTTGATAATTTTTACACACATATCTAAAAATGAATTCATATCAGTGGAAAAATGAAGGGAAAGGCAGACTTGGGACTTTGTACTGATATTCTAGCATTATGTCTGCACTAAAAAATGTTATCTGAATAGGATTAGCACATATTGGCTGTTGGTTTATTTTTTGGATGCTCTATATTGAGCGTACAGGTTTTAAGAAAAACCACATTCAGAAAAAGCAGATGTGAAATGCACAAAACTGAGATTCTCACCGGCTGGTTTGAGCGGAGATGATACAACCTCCTCTAAAGCTTCACTCGTAGACATGCCAGTTATTGGTAAGCCAGGTGTTAAAATTGATTCAGCATGGAGTCCTGAGCACCAATCAGCAACTGTGGTAAAAATGCACACATACCATTAACAAATCATACGAACCACCGCTGCATGAAAATTGTTTCAGGGTCATATACCTAATGATATATTCTCTGATTATTATGTATAAACATGTATGCTGTTAATATTAGGAAATTAAAAATCCAAATGCAGTGTTAATATAAATGCAGCTTATTGATGGAGAACACACAGATGCATCAAAGTATTATCACAGCATACAAAAGCTACTGAAAGTGGGAGAGACAGAAAGAGAGAGATACAGAGAAAGAGAGACAGAGACACACCACAGTAAGAGAAAGAAACAGAGAGGGAAAGAGACTGAGACAAATAAGAGAAAAAGAGAGAGGCAAAGACATACACAGATAGTAAGAGAAAGAAAGAGCGAGGGAGAGAAAGACTGAGAAAGAGTAAGCGAGAGAGAGACTGAGGCAGAGTGAGAGTGAGGAGGAAGACATAGAGGGAAAGGGTGAAAGAGAGTGGGAGACAAAGTGGGAAAGGGTGAGAGAGAAAAAGTGAGGGGGAGATATAGAGGGAAAGGATGAGAGAGAGTGAGAGGGAAGACAAAGTGGGAAAGGGTGAGAGAGAGAGAAAGAGCGAGAGGGGAAACACAGTGGGAAAGAGTGAGAGGGGAAACAGAGTGCAAAAGGAAGAACGAGAAAGAGAGAAAGACTGAGAAAGAGGGAGACTGAGGGGAAAGACATAGTGAGAAAGGGTGAGAGAGAGAGGAGAGATAGATTGGGAAAAGGTGAGCGAGAGAGTGAGAGACAGAGTGGGAAAGGGTAACAGAGAAAATGGGTGAGAGGGAAGACAGAGAGGGAAAGGGTTAGAGGGGAGACAGAGTGCAAAATGGAGAGAGAGAGAAAAACTCAGAAAGAGAAAGAGTGAGAGGGGAGAGAAAGTGGGAAAGCGTGAGAGGGGAGACAGAGTGCAAAGGGAGAGAGAGAAAGTGAGAAAGACTGATAGAGTAAGAGAGAGAGAGACTGAGGCAGTGAGTGAGGGGTGAGACATAGTGGGAAATGGTGAGAGAGAGAGAGAAAAAGAGTGAGAGGGGTGATAGAGTGGGAAAGGGTGAGAGAGAGAGAGAGTGAGAGGGAAGATATAGTGGGAAAGGGTGAGAGACAAAGAGTGAGGGGGAAATATAATGGGCAAGGGTGAGAGAGAGAAAGAGTGAGAGGGGAGACAGAGTGGGAAAGGGTAAGAGGCAAAAAGAATGAGGGGAAGACAGAGTGGTAAAGGGTGAGAGAGAAAGAGTAAGGGGGAGACATAGTAGAAAAGGGTGAGGTGAGAGAGTGGGAAAGGGTGAGAGAGAGAGAAAAAGTGGGGGGAGACACAATGAGAAAGAGTGAGAGAGAAAGAAAGAAAACGTTAGAAAGGGAAAGAAAAAGTGAGAGAGAAAATGAGGAGGAGGAGAGACAGAGAAGAGAGAGAAAGAAAGTAAGAAAAACATAAAGAAAGAGTAAAAGTTATAAAAAATGTGACTAAAGAGGACTGAAAAAGAGAAATACATTTACCATGAATGGTTTTTAAAAGGTGTCTGCATCATTACTTGAAACAACAGCATATTTGCCAGCATAAGAATGCATTGTGCACTGATAAAATGTTACTTCCTTTTCTGATTTTCCTTCCTGCCTACATATTGATTCACTGGAGGTATCCCCATGCAAAGGCTTTATGATGTCTATCAGTTAATTAAAATGACATTTTGTGGTATTGTAACAAGAGATTAATTTTCACTGGATTAATTGTGTCATCAATCTGACAGGTACCACTAACAAATAAGAGTTCAGTGCACAAGGAAGTGGTGACCAGGTCAATATAATTATATCGTTACTCTGCGCCAGCAGAGTGGTGGGCTAATAAGTCAGCTTCTTGACTCTGTGATAATTACTATAATTTACCATTACAGACATAATACAATTCATTAGCATATACTGTTGCCACACAGAACAATGTAAGGTCTCCACACTGTCTGATCAGTGGGTGGCTGGATGTCAGTTGTCTCTGGTCTACTAACAAGAAGAGATAATGAACAATGTCTATATGCATAAATAATATACATTTAGTCTGACTAGGGGCACCAGTTGGGCAGGACGCACATTCATCTACCCACTTCTATAATTATCAACCTTATTCAATAAAAGTTCTACTTTTGAAGTACTATTTTTTTGTGTAATGGTCTGTTATTTATAATTTTTCATAATTGAGTAACAGTAGTACAAAGCAATCTTTGTTTTCAGGTCTTCGTGAAGGAGGGTAAATTGTAAAGGAAAATTGGTAGCAAGCAAGAGTAGTTAAAATGCAACTGAAGACAAAACTATTTTCAAGCTTTGCATTAAGTGGACTAGACATGAGAGCCAGCAAAAAATGGGTTTTGTTTCGGATTTTTCGTTATATCGTTTTTCGGGATTCGGTTTAGGATTCGGACAAATCTGAAATTTTCGTTAATTTCGTAATAGATATTTATGAACACATTTTCATTGTAGCAAAGTGACATTAGGAAAAAAAAATGAAATTATTCTTTTTAACTTTTGATAGTCCACAGACACAATATTAGAAAAAAAGTGTGGGGGTCCCCCCCTAATTTATACCAGACCCTCTAGGTCTGGTAGGAAATTTTAGGGTGGACCCCAACGCCAAGAAAAAAAAATCCATGGGGTCTCCCCTTAAATCCTTTACCAGCCCCTTGATCTGAGCAGCAGCCTGGCAGAGCAGGAAAGAGGGGAGATGAGCATGCGTCCGCTTACCATACCAGGCCACATGCCCTCGAAATGGGGAAGTACTTTGCCAGGTGGGGACCCCCTGGAAAAGCACCTTGCCCCATGTCAATGAGGACAAGGGCCTCTTCCTCACAACCCTGGCCCAGTGGTTGTGGGGGTTTGTGGGCAGGGGGGCTTATCTGAATCTGTGTGCCCACTTTCAGAAAGGGGGCGCCCAGATGCTGCTCCTCCCTTGTGAATGAGTAAGGGGTAGTTGTTAAGTGAATTCCTTCATCAAATAAGCATTCAAAATGTAAACAAACACACAACACTGTAAAAAAAAGTCCTTTATTTGAAAAAAACAAACCAAACCACAACAAAGGTTTTTTTTTACAATTCTTTTACTCCCCAAAAAACCCCCCCCCAAAATGTCCATTGATGTAATCCACTGGTCAATCACGTCATCCAGCAATGTAGATCCAGGTCAATCACGATGGACGGCTGCTGACTCACATAAAGAACAAAAAACAGATGCCAGCCGACCCGTCTGATCCCTACGAACACTGCCGCCAAAATGACAGCTCTGACTCGAATGTCAGCAAAGGGGCGGAGCAAGTCGTGACACCACAGGAATTGTTCCGCCCATTTGTTTACATTCGGGACCAGACCTCTTATAATAATAGCGACTCTGTTCATGAACAGCATCCAGGGCTCTAACTATTGGAATGGGTGCATTTTACTCTCCCCATAGTTCTCCTTTAAGTCCAAGCCAATATAAAAAGGCACACATTAATACAACTCTCTAGTCATTAATACATCATTCAATGTACTTTTTTAATTGTAAGCAGTATAAGTTCCTGAATTTGACTTGCAGCCTACTGTAGGTCTGTACAATAGAGCTCAGATAAAAAGGGAGAAGCAGCACGTAGTGCCAGTCAGGTCAGAGTGTCAGAGAGATTAGCTCATCAGTTGCTGCTTCTCCTTTCACTGTCCAGTCACCGTGCATGAATGTGTGTGTGTGTTTGGGAAAGGGGGGGGGGGGGGTGGGGAAAACCGAAAGGGAAAAAA